CACCAAATTTGATGCAGTATAATGACACGACGGATATAGTTTCGTATCCCGTATTGTCCATATTGAACGACACGCCAAATGGCTTCAAGCAGGTAGTAGACTGTAACGACCCAGACATGGCCTTGAGGGTAAACTCTTGGAGGCTATGGTGGAAAGATCATTACGACAACGACGGTTAAAAAAGGCAAGGTAACAGCGAGAGACTCAGTTCAGTTTAGTTAGTATCAATCGATATTGATTTTACAGTTAAGATCTTGTCTCCTTCCTGTCATTGTCTTTTTTAATAACGTTTGTGAACATTGATCGCCTCTCCTCTTGTATTTCAATTCAAGGTTTCTAGATCAAAGTTTTGTTTTGATTTCATTTAGCTAAAGTTTATCAATATATATTTTCTTTAAGTTAGAGTTTATTTGTTTATTGTGTTTTACGATAATTTTTTGTAATAGGGTAGCACCAAAGGCCTGTGGTCAGTGTTGCCTTTCCATCATTAAGTTAATACATTGTACATTGTTAGGGTAAGATTTGTGAGCTAGTGCTCAGCGATCTTTCCTTATACTTTTATTTCTATAGCTTCGTTATTTATCTACTTGTAATAATCGAAGGCTTTATCAAATAAAGGATTAACAAAAACACTAAAGTGTTCGACAACGTTACGACCCTACGTAGATACAGTCCTCAAATTACATAGTGCTGCAAGCATCGGCGACTCCGATTGCTTGCGGTTCAAAAACGGTAGAATTTTGGTTCCCTATAGGGACGCTTTAGAGGAGTTGTGGTCAGCTCCCCTATCAAACAGACGGTTAGTAGTCGCGACAAGGGACTAATACTATTACTGGGAAAAAATGCCGTTACTAAACTTATCTTACTAGCAACTCATAAAGGGCTCTTTTATTTTGAAGTACAAGCAACCCTAGCGGAATTACTACAAAATTGATTATACCAAAAGCAGGAAAAGAAGTGAGGACGATTCTAAAAGATTGCTACATTTGTAGGAGATAGAATGCGAAACCTTATCGTCTGCCTACAGTAGCAACATTCCCTAAATTTAAATGCATACGTACACTGCTCTTTCAACCTACAGCCTTAGACTATTTCGGCCCAGTTGTCGTTAGGAGTAAATGAAGAAAAAATCAGGAGTACCATTCACTTGTTTAACGACTGGAGTAATACATCTAAAAATCGTAACGGATTTGACAACAAAGTGTTTCATGAACAGCCGAAAAAGATTTATTGCAAGAAGAAGAGTTTCTAAAGTGATCTTATACGACAACGCAACTACATTTAAAGGACTCCATCGTCTACTAGAGGAATTATGAAAATCTTTGCGACTACACCAGGAGATTCAAGACTGGATGGCAAACTATCATGTTCAGTGGCATTTTTATGACACCCTCAATTCCTTGAAGAAGGGGTTACTACGAGAGAATGGCTGGACTTGTGAAACAAATTCTTTGAAGAACCATAAGCTGAAGGATTCTTACTCTGGAAGAATATCAAACATTCCCGTGTAGAAGGTATCATAAATATGTTTTCGATGACTTATGTGAGCGAGGAACAACATGAAAAAATTTTGCAATTTAGAGACCTGGTGACAGGAGCATATTTGAATTTACCATGCTTGAAGGAAGCAGAAACGGACGATGAAGACTACCTAAAAAGCCTAAGAGGAAATCAAAGAGTATACTTGCAAAATAAAAAAGAAGTCAACAACTAAAAGCCTGAAGAAAGGAAAATAGTTTTATTATCAAATAAAAACGTTAGACGCGCTTTTTGAAAATCAGCAAAAAATTCTAAAATTAAAACTGGACTTTGACAGAGAAATAAAAACAGTGACGTTACGAATGACCAGTGGACAAGAAACAGATCAATCGATAATGCATTTGTGCCCACTGGAAATAGAGAAAACAGCTGATGAGGGTCAATAGATCAATAAAACCAAGCAAGGCGTTGACGTCACAACAGTGAGCAACAGCTCCCTAAACAAGGCGCACACAACAATCACGTGGATCACAACACGTATCATGCTGGGCCTATGCTTTATGACAGTGGAAGCCATCAATCAACGCAAGACGGAAGAAGATTTGACATTTGCAAGCTCACAAAACTGCGTGACCAGCGGAGTAGTGATAATGAAACAAAATCGGAATTATTGCTACTTAGTTGGAGAGTGTACAAGCAAACAGTTAAAAAACAGAGAATGTACTAATGTACGTCCATTTCATAGCTGGACAAACACTGGCTCACATTCTGAAAGAAAATCCTAAGACTTCCAAACAAAAGAAGTGAAATAATCAGCAAACATTCCTCATCTAGTATATTTTGTTTTGAAATTTCAAAAAACTGCAGTGAAAGATTACGCAAAGTTCTATCAAATCGAAGTATACATTCGAGGTATTTAGTAGAAAATCTTCACTTGATGCAAAGGCGATACTTGACAACAGTTGTCAGTGTTTTGAGAAGGGAAAACAAACGGGATCCTTCTCCTTTTGTGCAATTCACAAATGTTCCACCAATGGAACTCAATTTTGTCTTTTCCCAAGCAATGAAATTGTATACTACGTCGGCAGCGAAAAAAAAATTCCAATCCCAGCCTGGGGAACTGCAGAAGCAGAGTATTACAGCTGCAACCAGATTCACGGCAAACAAGGATGTTCAAAACGCAAAGTAAGTTGCATTCAAGGAGGAATTCAAATATACAGGAACGAACAAGTCTTAGCAGTTGAGGTTCGTGCAGAACCATTTTGCATTTATAAGAAACAATCTTAAAGTTTAAAGATCATCATGCTTCCAAAAGAAATATTTTACTCAAACTACATCACCCGAAAAAAATTTGGTAACATGGAGAATTCATAAAACTTTAAGTTTAACATGTCCAGAAAACCCTTTTTGTGAGTTAATTTAGTGTTATTTCTGTAAAGAAACCCTCTTTAACCCTTAACGCGTCTCACCTCGGCAAATTTTAACAGTTATCTGTGTTTTCTATCTGATCGTACTAACAGTACATGTGTTGTTAAAAATTAGGCTTCTGTTAAACCGCTGTTTTTTATTCGGACTTTTTATAATAAAAAAGACATTAA